ATAGCCTGAATTAGTCCTCCATAGACTATTAACTCTGGAAGAACATCTGACCTGCAAAATTAAGGACCAAATCTTGAAGAGCATTTGCATCAGCAACCACAGCAATCCTCTCTAAAACACTTCGGTTATCTTCCATCTTATCAAAAAGGGTAGGTTAGAGCATATATGCATTTTAAATAAAGAAATTAAATTTAGTTAAAGTGTGATTCTGGTGTTTAAAAGATTTTCTTAATCACATGAGTTATTAAATGTATGCCATTTACTTACTTCATCTGGTGCTCAACTAAACAGCAAGGTGATCTAACACTGAAAGAACTATCCATATTATACTTGAGAGAAAGCATGTGTAATCTCTTATGAACATTTAAGAAATTTTTAAGGGTGATTTTGATTATAAAAATTTGTGTTATGTACTGACTTAAAACCTAATATGCTATGCATTTTTACATAAATTATAACTCAATTAAAGTAAAAGCTAATCCTTACCTGAAATGAAATTCTATTGTACTAGTCATCGATTACTCAACTCAGTACTTTAAAAAATATGAGACAAAGGGGCCAGGCGTGGTGGCTCATGCCTATAATCCCAGCGCTTTGGAAGATCAAGACAGGAGGATTGCTTGAATTCAAGACCAGCCCATGCAACATATTGAGACCCTATCTCTACTAAAAATATTTTTTAAAAAAAGTGAGCCAGGCATGGCAGTGCACATCTGTAATCCTAGCTACCTGGGAGGCTGAGATGGAAGACTGACTTGAGCCCAGGAATTCCAGGCTGCAGTGGGCTATGATCACGCCATCACTCTAGCCTAGGCAACAGAGCGAGACTGTCTCTTTAAAAAAAAAAAAAAAAAATTGGAGAAAAAGGATTTTAGGTTAACATAACAATCAAAACCAGAAGAATATAAACAGACTAACAAATATCTCATATTCCTGATTCTCTTGGTGAAAACATGGATTATTCCACCTTCTCCCAAGGTAACTATTATTGCTGTAATATTAAAAGGCAGAACACATGACATTTAATAATCAAATTTTAAAGCTATTTTACTTGTGGTAACTTATAAAGCATATATCAACAAGTAATGTATTTATTAGCCAAAACAAACATTAATGCCTACAGAGGAAATTAATAAAAGTGGACATGATGTAATTTTGTCTTTCTTCATATTTAGTAACCATGAAAAGAAACTACACCTAAGAGCTTCAATACTATGAGGAAATGGTATAAAACTGAAATCTTAAGTTAATAATAATATATAGTTTTGCATTTAAATAGGAATATTAATCTTCAGGAATTTG